AAATGATTCGAAAGACATGCAAGGAGCTGCTTAGAATGAAGTGCACAAACTTTAACGAGGAGTAAGCGTATTTTATTTTATTGTATTTAATTTTGTTTTTTGTTTGTAAAAAAACAAACAAACAATACTGACGTGTGATATTGATAATGCCGAAACTGATACTATTAAAGCAACAGAATATGATCTGGATCATAATCTCTGGATTAAAGATATTAACAACATTATGTTGAAATAAATTTCGCTGGAAATTGATTTAGAATGTTGTCAGCTTCTTTGAAGGAGAGAAATAAACTTAAAAATATGGCAAGCTACTGTTTAGCTATAGTTACCATTCAATTTATTTATTTCAGTTTTAGACGACGTAAATATTAATTTCAAAACCTGCGCTATGAATTAAAGGTTTCGCTGGCTAAAAATTAGAATAAAATTAGCTAACTTTTTAGGAGAATAAATGAAGATTAAGTGCATATTAATTACCCATGAATGAATCAACAGCAAACTAAAAAAACGAATGCCATTTAAAGGCGTGAAAGATTTTACGCACACCTAAACTTCGAAACGGTTGCTTCTTTAAAATAATGCTTTAAAATTTATCATCTAACAGTACTAAATTTTNTGTTACATCTAACAATTATTATTTCACTTATTAGTAGTGCTATAGAAATGAAATGATTCGAAAGACATGCAAGGAGCTGCTTAGAATGAAGTGCACAAACTTTAACGAGGAGTAAGCGTATTTTATTTTATTGTATTTAATTTTGTTTTTTGTTTGTAAAAAAACAAACAAACAATACTGACGTGTGATATTGATAATGCCGAAACTGATACTATTAAAGCAACAGAATATGATCTGGATCATAATCTCTGGATTAAAGATATTAACAACATTATGTTGAAATAAATTTCGCTGGAAATTGATTTAGAATGTTGTCAGCTTCTTTGAAGGAGAGAAATAAACTTAAAAATATGGCAAGCTACTGTTTAGCTATAGTTACCATTCAGTTTTTTGATTTCAGTTTTAGACGACGTAAATATTAATTTCAAAACCTGCGCTATGAATTAAAGGTTTCGCTGGTCAAAAATTAGAATAAAATTAGCTAACTTTTTAGGAGAATTAATGAAGATTAAGTGCATATTAATTACCCATCAGTGAATCAACAGCAAACTAAAAACCGAATGCCATTTAAAGGCGTGAAAGATTTTACGCATATCTAAACTTCGAAACGGTTGCTTCTTTAAAATAATGCTTTAAAATTTATCATCTAACAGTACTAAATTTTAAAGCTCAATAAGTTTACTTCGCTTTTAAAAATAAAATTCTTTGTATTATTTTGATTTATCCTTGACTTTTAACGAGTGGCCGGCAGCTGCCGCTTTCAATGAAAGAGCGCAAAACAAAAACTATATTTTGACGAAAGCTCCGATTACGAATAATAATTATCAACTTTTGTTTCAGTGTTCGAATTGCGTCTCAACGTTTATAAGTCAAGAAATGTTACTTTACTAAATATAGCTTTTAAACTTGTAATTCGTATTTTGCAAAATGGTGTTTGTCACTTTAAAAGATAGACATCTTTGCTAAGATTCTTGACGAAGTGTTACTTTTCACTTTTGAAAAAGATTGCGTTTTGCTTTGTGAAATGATCCTTCGAGATTCTTTGCGAAATGTCACTCAGCCATACTTCGTGAATTATTGCTTGATGACGTGGTGCCTGAATGAACTTTTTGTAGTGTTCATTGTTTTTGTTCTAATTAATTGCGTATATAAACTGTGATCTACTTAGCCATATTTCATAAAGATCATTTTGTGTCGTGTTTTAAGAGAACCAGAAGCCGAACATCCACTGAAAAAAGTCGCCATGAACGTAACTGAGTCTAAAGCGGGATCTTTCGATGCAACATGTCCCATGAACGAGATGATTTGGAGGCAAGAGTACCAGGTGGAAAAAGTTGCCTTCGCCGTGACAGCAATAATCCTGAACATCCTAAGCTTTCCTGTGACGATCGTAATGAATGTGCTGGTGATAATGGCGGTGANACTATATTTTCACGAGAGCTCCGATTACGAATAATAATTATCAACTTTTGTTTCAGTGTTCGAATTGCGTCTCAATGTTATAAGTCAAAAAATGTTACTTTATTAAATATAGCTTTTAAACTTTTAATTCGTATTTTGCAAAATGGTGTTTGTCACTTTAAAATATAGACATCTTTGTTAAGATTCTTGACGAAGTGTTACTTTTCACTTTTGAAAAAGATTGCGTTTTGCTTTGTGACATAATCGTTCGAGATTCTTTGCGAAATGTCATTAAGTCATACTTCGTGAATTATTGCTTGATGACGTGGTGCGTGAATGAACTTTTTGTAGTGTTCATTGTTTTTGTTCTAATTAATTCCGTATGTAAACTGCGATCTACTTAGGCATATTTCATAAAGATCATTTTGTGTCGTGTTTTAAGAGAACCAGAAGACGAACATCCACTGGAAAAAGTCGCCATGAACGTAACTGAGTCTAAAGCGGGATCCTTCGATGCAACATGTCCCATGAACGGGATGATTTGGAGGCAAGAGTACCAGGTGGAAAAAATTGCCTTCGCCATGACAGCAATAATCCTGAACCTCCTAAGCTTTCCGGTGACGATCGTAATGAATGTGCTGGTGATAATGGCGGTGAAGACAAGACCCAGATTGCAAAGTAACTATAACATTTTGCTGGCCTGTTTGGCTGGAACAGACCTGTTAGTAGGAGCCGCTTCACAGCCAGGTTACATCTTGGGGCAGATTTATGTCATACAAGGAATATCTCTGTCGGAATACTGTGGATACCACAAGCTGACCAACCTTCTGGTTTTGAGTCCTATTTTTGCATCCGTGTTACATCTGACACTAATCAGTATCGAACGGTTTGTAGCTCTGAAGTATACTTTTCGTTATGTAACAATTGTTACGGGGCTTCGTTTAAAAATAGC